AAAAGCAATTATCGGATTGAGAGTACTAATCCCTACACAAAGGACCGTTGGGCCCCCAAAAGTTAATGATCGCGATACAATAGAGGTTGGCCGACCGGGAGGTCCGGAAGTAATTTGGAAGGTATGAGTCATAATCCCTACACAAAGGTACCAGGCGGTGACTTCGGCATTAATCCTTAGACAAAGGGACCGTACAGTATAGCAGCAAGCGCTGACGTCGCAACATAGTGTAAAAAAAAAAAAAAAAATGCTATAAAAACCAACGCGGCACGGGTTAAAATTTAGTCCTAATCATGAATATTTACCAAGACATACACAATTGTCAAACTTACGAAGAACTCGGTCTCATCCTCGAGACGTTTCAACTCAGCGAAGAGGAGAGGGCGTACGCTCTTCATAAGCTATGCGAGCTGACTGTGGGCCTTGATGACGACGTACCGCATCAACACGGGTACGGTAACAACGATGACCACTCGGACGATGGCGGTGACCCGTGGGCAGAATTTTAGGAGGATGTTCCAGAGGACGAGGGGACGGAAGAGCTACCGCAGGAGGAAGACGAAGAGAACCAGCCACCGAGGAAAAGGATTCGCGTGGAGAGACGGCAAGATTATTACAATATTGCAGAAGTTAATGAAAAGTTTGTAAAAAAGTATCAAGCCACCACATACGATTACAGAGTTCAGTTCAGGAACATGGACCATTTATCATTGCGAGAGTTTTTACCACTCCTGGGTTCCATTTTTGAGAGCATTTTGGAGAGGTTAATGGATGGTCTCCCCGCAGAAGACCAAGTAAGGTTGGTGTTTCAATTGACTTACTTGAATTTTCCTATTGCTCTGCCATTTTTACGAGTCGATGAATTAACGGTCGAGAGATTTCTGGCTCGTATCGATCAAGTGTTGCAGTCCTATCAATTTATTCAATTGGACGACAGGGTAGACATTCATTTTGTGCACATGCGAATGCAAAAAGGGGGTAAGACCCAACCTCACGGTGTGGTAAAAATTCGGGATATGTTACGCAATAAGAGCTCAATCATTCAGATTAAAGACGAGAGGACGGAACTGTGTTGCGCCAGGGCGATCGTGACGGGAATGGCCATTATAGAAAACCATCCAAAAGTAAAACAGATCAAAATAGGGCGTAAAGAACAAGAACACCTAGCCAGAGATTTACACGCTAAAGCGGGCGTGAAGGAAGGGCGGTGTGGCATTGAGGAAATTCGTAAATTTCAGGACGTCTTACCCGATTACCGCCTTGTGGTGATATCGTTTGATCATTTTAACGCCGCCATTTTCAAAGGGCCCGTTAGACAACATACCATTTAC